TTGTCATTCGATTAAATCTCGCGCACTTGTGATTGTGATTAGGAATTGAAAGTTGCATATTTTCTTCCTAGGTTGTTGTTACGTTGACAAAATGCACCTCAATCAAAGTTCCAATGACAACGAGGGGTAGTTCTTTTGTTAATACAGCAGCCTAACAGTTCCGCCGACATACTCCTGCAATTCAAAATCCAAATGGGAGAGTATTCATTCGTCGCGGATAGCAGCCTGACAGTTTCGCAGACATACTCCTTCAATTCAAATTCCAAATGGGAGATTATTCATTCGTGGCGTGGCCTAGATTTTGTAAGCACACAAGTAATACGCCCCGACATGGGTTTACCTTTGTCAAATTTGTAACGAATATTTGTTTATTTGTTCAAAATATTATTAAATGTGTAATATCAATCTGTCAAAAGCTATGAAATTTTATATTCAAACTATGAAAATTGTAATAATGTATTATATTATTTATATATGCCATGTAATCGACAATTTATTTATTAACATTACGCAAAATATTTTAATTAAATACTATATCATGAAACGTGCATATACAAAATTTCATGCTTTATTTTTTATGGCTTTCTAAAAAAACCACATATTAGAAGCATATATTATGTTGCAGTTTCATACAACAAACACCGTTAAAATTCTTATTTTCTTATGAATTGTGTTCTCAAATTAAATTTCGTAATGTCTACTTTAATACACACATTAATTCCAATCAAAACTCTAGTCTAGTCTACTCAAGTTCAAAAAAGTATGAATATGTAAATGAAGACTTTCGGAAAACTACACGCACATTAGAGTCGCAAAACATGGATAAATATTGTGTGTGCCGGAAAAAGGGGTGAAATAGGACATGTAAGTAAATGGCCGGCCCGCCGAGGACAAATTCGCGTTTGGGAAATGCGTTTCGAAAAACGCATTTCCCAAACGCATTTTTGTCGCCGGCCAACCGGCGATTCTAATAGCATAGCCGCAATTGGGAAATGCGGCTATCGTATGCTATACGAAAGCCGCATTTCTCAAACGCGGTTATGCGTATACGACAACCGCATTTGGGAAATGCGGTTGTCAGTACCAAAGATTTGCAACCCACCCGAGTTTGGGAAATGTGGTTTTGACCCCAACCGCGTTTCCCAAACTCGTTTTTCCTATTCCTGTCAAAAAAAAAAAAAAGGTTCCATTATTGTTCACAATCATTTGTCTCTTCCCATTTCAGTCAAAAACCCTCATCTCCATGGGGCACCTTTGCCTCGAGTTCCCCAACCCCACAGCTCAGAAAATCAGTTGGAGCTGCTACTAGAAAGCATGCCGCCAAACAACAAAGAAGGATCTCCAGGTACACACTGTAACCGAGAAGGCGCTTCGAGATGAGGAGAAGCGGCCCCGAGCCGAACCTGCGGTGGAGACAGAAGAGGTCATTCTGGACCTCAATCGACCCGACCTCGCGTACCAACACCGACGGAAGAGCTTAACGGTCCAAGTCCGGTGACTTGGAGTCAAAGGGCCACCCTAAGGGGGCACGAGGTCCGACCTCGCGTACCAACCCCAACGAAAGAGTTTAACGGCCCAAGTATGGTGGCTTGGGGTCAAAGGGCTACCCTAAGGGGAGCCCGAAGTCCGACCTCATTCGCCACTCGGCAGGGTCTCGGCCGACTTCCGAAGGAGGTCTTGGCGGACTTTTCCGATGAGGTCTCGGTCGACCTCTCGAGGAGGTCTCGACCGACCTCTCGGGGAGGGCCCGGGCGACCTTTTGGGGAGGTCTCCGCCAACCTCTCAAGGAGGTCTTCGAGAACCTCTCGAAGAGATCCCCGCCGACCTCTCGACGAGGTCTCGGCGGACCTCTCGATGAAGTCCCGGCTGAACTCTCGGGGAGGTCTCCGCCGACCTCTCGAGGAGGTATCCGCCAACCTCTCGAGGAGGTCTCCGCCAACCTCTCGGGATGTCCCAGCCGACCTCTCGGGGAGGTCTCCGCCAACCTCTTGGGGAGGTCTCTGCCGACCTCTCGATGAGGTCCCGCTGACCTCTCGACGAGGTCTCGACCGACCTCTCGGGGTTGTCCCGGCCGACCTCTCGGGGAGGTCTCCGGACACCTCATGGGGAGGTCCCCGCCAACCTCTCAATGAGGTCTCGACCGACCTCTTGGGGTGGTCCCGGCCGACCTCTGGGGGAGGTCTCCGCCGACCTCTCGAGGAGGTCTCGACCGACCTATTGGAGAGGTCTCCAGCGACCTCTCGAGGAAGTCTCCAGCAACCTCACGAGGCTGTCTCGACCGACCTCTCGGGGTGGTCCCGGCCGACCTCTCAAGGAGGTGTCCGCTGACCTCTCGAGGAGATCTACGCAGAACTCTCGAGGAGGTCCTCGCCAACCTCTCGACGAGGTCTCGACCTACCTCTTGGGGAGGTCTCCGCCGACCTCTCGAGTAAGTCTCCGTCGACCTCTTGAGGAGGTCTCCGCCGACCTCTCGAGGAGGTCCTCGCCGATCTCTCGACGAGGTCTCGGCCGACCTCTCGAGGGGGTCTCGGCCGACCTCTTGAAGAGTTCTCGGCTGGCCTCGTGGTGCACCCTAGGGGCGATACGGATGAGTCGCGTCTCCCCATCGCCCGGTCGAAGGAGAGCATCAACGCCAACGGGGTCAATGTGAATCCTCTTTAAAGGGCCATCATCACAGGCACCTTGTAAAAGGTCTGAAATCATGTCCGGATGGGACGGAAGGTCCGTTGCCGAGCCCCGAGGGGAAGTCAGATGAACATCTCCATTGGCCACCTCCTTCGGGTCGGCAGGTGACTCCAGGTTCCCGAGGTCAGCCGGGAGACCCCACACCACGGGGTCGTGGGTCTCGTCTCTCTTGCAAAGAACAAACTAAACCCTACGCTGCATCACATACTGTCCCACATTGTACATGTGCAACCCCTGCACAGCCACGAGCCTTTTCCCAATTGGGTCGCGTAGAAGGTCCCTAGAGGGCTCCACCGCATGCTCGGCGAGGTGGGCCTTCACATCCTTGATGAACACCTCGGAGTCCTTATAGCTTAACAGGGCTGCCTTCAAAGCCCACCTCGAGATCCTTTTGGCTTGACAGGGCTGCCTTCAAAGCCCACCTCGGAGTCCCTGTAGCTCGGCACGGCTAACTTCAAAGCCTCCACATGCGCCCGGCGCTCCCGCACATGGTTGGCAATCAACTTGGCATACTTGCCCTCCAACTTCGCAGGCTTGCTCCCCATGGCTTTGTGCGCCGCCTCCAACTCTTTACGACCCCTCATCTCGGCCCAAGATGCGCCCGAAGGGTCCCCAACACGCTCTCCATGGACGTCTCTCGGGCAATAGCTTGCACAATAGCAAGCATAGACGAAGGATAGAGCGTTAAAACACGAGGGGGGCTCGTAATTATCAAGCGGCTTTCGTACTCTCTTGGGTTGACGATTTCTCGCAACCCCGAGAGTGGGGGACTGATCATGGAATAATTACAGAGCGGACCTGGAGCGAAGAAATATGGAGATGATCACACACGGCACCGAGCGGACTACAAACGCGACCGGACAGACCATGGAGGGGTCTACTACCCCGGGGTCCTCGACTACTACCACGGGGTCCTCAACTACAACCTCCCCGGGGTCCTCGGCTACTATCACGGGTTCCCCGGCTACTATGCACACGGGGTGACGAACCACCCCGGGGTCAGCCAACCTGGGCTCGGCCTGGCGGTGAGCCGACCTCCACAGGCTCGGCCTCGTGGGCTCGGCCAAGGACCGGGTCCTCGCTTGGAACGAGTGCTACGGCGCGGGCCGCGGCTCCTCCCACTTAACCTGGGCCCGGTCCGGCCGGGGGGTATAAAAACACCACCCGGTGTCCTATTCAATCATCTCCTACCTTTCATACAATACTCGTAACGTTATTACACGTCCCGAACCTCTGTAATAGCATTTTATGTTCAATTAATATAATTTATAGTTTTATTATCTATTTCTTATATTCAAACATATATACGGGTTGTATAATCCGGACCCCCGGGTTCATATAATCCATCATTGGTGCTCTTGTTGAGAGCGGCTGTAAAAGCTTAAGCGCCCTCTCCATTATCATTCATCCACAGCGATGACAAGATCCGGGTCCAAAACTCAGAACTCGCAGGGTTCACGCAACACCCGCGTCCTCTCCCTTGCCAACCACCCCAACGGGATGACGCGAGTCGGCAGACCGTGTCCGTGGGGACGGAAGGGGACCTCAGAGTTCAAATCAATGGGAACTGGCGGGGGACGACGGAGGACCTCCAGGGTCGGCTCACCAACAATCACCCGCTCAGCGGGACGGCGCCACCCGTCCCACCCCCGATTGCGACTCCCCAAGAGGAGGCCGCCGCACTCGAGCAGGCGGCGACCGCACTCAACCGCGTCGTGGCGGGGCTGCGACGGGGTGCCCCGGCACCTCCATCTCCGCCCCCTCCGAGGGAGCACGGCGCCCCCAGCAGCTCTCCCCGGTACGGACCCCGCTATCTGGTTTCACCGGGGACTCCATCGAAATACAGGGCTGCATCACCCTCGAGGTGCAGATCGGCACCCCGCTGCACGTAAAAAAGTGAGAGGTGGAGTTCATGGTGGTGAAAATCAGATGCGCCCATAACATCATCCTCGACCGACCTGCCCTGGAGGACCTCAGGTGCATCATCTCCATGGGGCACCTTTGCCTCAAGTTCCCCACTGGAGTGGGTGTCGCGCGAGGAGATTAGAAAATCAGTTGGAGCTGCTACTTGAAAGCATGCCCGCCAAACAACAAAGAAGGATCTCCAGGTACACACCGTAACCGAGAAGGCGCTTCGAGATGAGGAGAAGCGGCCCCGAGCCGAACCCGCGGTGGAGACAGAAGAGGTCATTCTGGACCTCAGCCGACCCGACAGGATGGTGAAGGTGGGTACAGGCCTCCCGACCGACCTCCGGGGTAGGCTCGTTGAGATCATCCGCAGCTACAATGACGTGATCGTCTAGGGTCCCGAGGACATGTCGAGCCTCAGCCGGGAGGTCATCACGCACAAATTGGCGGTGGACCCCAACGCCAAGCCGGTCCAGCAGCGGAAGCGCTATTCCGCCGCGGACAGACGAGAATTTGTGAAGAATGAGGTCGACACCCTCCTCGAGATAGGGCATATAAGGGAGGTCCTATACCCGGCAAGGCTCGCGAATGTAGTCCTCGCACCTAAACCACCTACGTGGAGGATGTGTGTGGACTACACGGACCTCAACAAGGCATGCCCCATGGACCCCTTCCCGCTACCGAACATAGATCAGCTAGGGGCCGAGACGGCGGGATGCGCGCTCATGAGCTTCCTGACAACAGGGTTCGACCTCGCTACTTTCAAGTCGGTGATTACGTCCGCCGCAGGGGGAAGCAAGCCGACCCCAGGACGGAGGCAAGTTTGCCAAGAAATGGGAAGGACCATATGTGGTCGAAGCCATAGTACGCCCGGGCAGCTACAAGTTGAGGACTCCATCGGGCAAGACAGTGGACTGGGTGTGGAACTCGGAACACTTGTTGAAATTTTACCAGTAGAAGCACATTTGTACGGCCTACCCCCTCCCCAATAACAAGCCGACTCCCCACAAAAATGTTTTGTTTTCGTTCGTAATGGAATAATGAATTTCGTTGAGCAATTATCCTACCCCGAATGGTGGAAGAGCACGGGCGCATGGGAGATCAGGAACTCGGGCACCGCGAGGTCGACCGGCGCGGGGTCGGTTGACGCGAGGTCGGCCGACCTAAGGATGGACGTGGCGGCTGCGTACGCGGGGGACCGCAATGGCCAACTTAGACGGAGCACATGCCCTAGGGGCGATACGAGGTCCGACCTCGCTTATCGCCAAATGGAAGGGTTCGGGGCGCGAGTCAAAGGACTCCACCCCAGAATTGCTAAAACATCCTAGGGGCGGTACGAGGTCCGGCCTCACCTACTCCCGAACGGGCGTAACGCAATCTTAACATCTCATCGAGAATATTACGTGGCCTTCCCTTTTTAACATCTCATCGAGAATATTACGTGGCCATTAAAATCCCCCTTGTTGCATTACCAATTCAGCTGTACACCTCTCAGCAAACATTAGAGCAGTTTTTTCGTACGTTAGCTTCACTATCGCCGACACGGGCAAAACACGACAATGCTTTTGACTGTTGTTGAAAGATTCCGAGCTGTTGGTCGTCATCAATCCATGTCTAAATCCCCCATCGTGACTTAGGGCCAAAAACCGAGCAGGGATTGCCATCAAGTAATTATATGATGCCTCGTCACTTGCCCAAATTATACTCATTACAGCCTCAAACCCCCTAACATCCATAGCACAACCAGCCTGCCAAAACAAATTTTTAAATTCCTTATTCTTAAACTTGGTCATCAAATTTGACCAATAATGTCGGAGGCAGTATAGACGCTGGACTCGCGCCTCGGCCAGTTCTGGTATTTCCCGAAATGCATGGTCGATGCCACCATGCCTATCCGAGATAATACATATGTGTTGAAAATCACCAAACACATTTTGTGCCACCAATCTCAAGAACCAACTCCAACTATCTCCTGTTTCAGCGTCAACAATTGAGTATGCAACTGGATGTATTTTTTTGTTGGCATTTATAGCTACTGCTAATAGAAGGTGGCCTTTGTACTTTCCGTACAAATGCGTACCATCGACCGTAAGTACGGGTAAACAGTATTTAAACCCTTCTATTGCGGGTTTGAATGCCCAAAAAACATACTTAAATCGGAACTCACTCGGGATTGCCGTTGCCGTGTTGACAGTATCAACAACGGAATCTGGATTTGTTTGTTGTATGGCCATTAACGTTTGTGGCAATATGTTGTAGGACTCATCCCACTTTCCATACAGCGTCTCCAACGCGATGACTTTTGCGTACCAAGCCTTCTTGTAATCAACACGAACACCCCATTTTGCCTTGACATCTTCGATGACGTATTTAATTTTGTATCGTGGATCATCTGCAATTTTTTGCAAAATTAGTTCCGAAATCACTTTACTGGTAAGGTTGTAGTCATCTCCGCCCTGCGTATAATCCACACAGCATCCGTGGATATTATGAAACTTTTTAACTATCCATCCTTCGGAATCTTGAATCTGCACAGCACTTATCATCCACGCACACTGTTGGGGATATAAACAGGTAGCCTTCCATTATTTGCTCTTCTTGGTCGCCGTTTTGAACTGCGTATGTTGGTCAAGATTATGTTGTGTCACCATATTCTTTAACTGTCGGTAGCTGTCGAACACCATTCAAACTGCAATGGACGAACTAGCAGTTCGAAAAGCATTCCCGAATGCTGTATAATCATTGTACCAAGCTGGATCATGTGCTTGCCGACGAGATGTCGTATCATGTATGGACGTGTTGGCGGACGATTCAACCTCTTCAACCGGCTCATAATCAGGGTCGTCATCATCATCGGAAGTAAACAAAAATTCATCCCCACTTGTGTTTGTTTCTTCGTCTAAAATGGCATTATTTGCGTCACAAATAAGATGATCCATTGGCACTATCTGTATGTGCTCTACTTGCGTGCTCTGTCCTGACCGACCAACACTACGCCTTCGTGCTTCACGTGTTCTAATTGGAATGTGGTCAACGCTAGTACCCCCTTGAACAATGTTTAGATTCAATGTTGAATGGAAAGGCATTTGAAGTTTCACAAAAACCACTAACGCCCCAAACGTGGACATCGCCCCCAAAAAATAAGACCACGTCTGATTATCTGTTATTGGAAATGGATAAACTACATCACCCAGAGATTGATTTGGCTGAAATTTCCCCCATAAAAATATTTCACCAACAGTGTCTCCAATTTGAAGTCAATTCTTTATCTCGGACACTAACTATTCGAACGAACATGTTGCAGAGACGAACACGACATTTTGGGGAGCAATGTTGAAATCAACATCATCTCTAAGACCTTCATGATCTAGATGACGACATATCAACACAACAACCTGGTTACCTATACAAAATAAAATCTCGTACATGATAAAATTATAATTAGAATAAAAATAATTTCATATAAATTTTAATCGAAATAATTTATACTTCAATCATTATAAAGATGTGAAATTCATACCTGCCATTTTCCTTAAGGTAATTCCTACGAAAAAAAATATACATATCATATATAACTATTATAAAAAACACAATACAAAATAACAAATAAAATTTTACAAAATAAATAATACTAAAATAAACTAACCTTTAATTAACTCCGGATTGAAAATGAAAACTTTTATAGCCCACCTTGCAGCACCCACACTTCTAAAAACTCAACACACTACACGGTTAAAAACCGAACCATGCGTGATAACCCACATGGGTTGTCATAATGTGATGACATCTCATTATGACACCCACATGGGCTGGGGCTGTCATCGAAATGATAGCCCAAATGGGCTGTCATCTCGGCGACAGCCCATAGGGCTGTCAGCCCGGCTGACAGCGCACATGGGCTGTCAGCCCTGAGATGACAACCCATGCATTGTCATCTCACGGCTGACACTCCATGTGGTTTTTAACCTATGTAATGATAAATTTTTACAACTTTAATTTTTTTGGATGTATTATACACCTTGGACTATAAATTGTTCTGTTTTCATTCGTGAATTGAAACACGATATTTAATCATGTAGAATTACATGTTGTATTTTTCTCAATTTCAAAATAGCAAATTCCTATTTTTCAATTGGAAATTTTCCAAAATGTTAGAAATTTTATCACACTCTGATTCAACGGAGGATAATGTTGAATGTCATGCAATTAAGTCTCGCGAATGTAGGTTGAATGTCATGCAATTAAGTCTCGCGAATGTATTTGAACCCAAGAGATGGAAGTGTGGAGCGATTCGGAAGGGAAAGGTTCCTTCCGCCATTGCTATCCGCCTATTAGTTGGGTTTGAGGTTAGAGCAAGTGCTTGTGATTACGATCACAATCGTTTGCTCTTGTTCTGCACGGAATTGTTGGATTTGCGGTGAGTTTCGAGCCAATTATTCTAAATTTTTTATACAATCTCTTTTTAATTTTTTTTCTATAAATCTCACCTTTCCCACATCAATTCTGACATTTGTCTTCACACTCAATCTATTTTTACCAAAATATGGCGAGAGAGATTTTGCGAATATTCTCTCAGCTATCTCTAAACTTCTTTTCATCACTCTTTGTTTGTCAAAAACATCTTTATTGTCATTCAATTAAATCTCGCGCACTTGTGATTGTGATTAGGAATTGAAAGTTGCATATTTTCTTCCTAGGTTGTAGTTACGTTGACAAAATGCACCTCAATCAAAGTTCCAATGACAACGAGGGGTAGTTCTTTTGTCTATACAGCAGCCTGACAGTTCCGCCAACATACTCCTGCAATTCAAAATCCAAATGGGAAATTACTCATTCGTCGCGGACAGCAGCCTGACAGTTTCGCAGACATACTCCTTCAATTCAAATTCCAAATGGGAGATTATTCATTCATGGCGTGGCCCAGATTTTGTAAGCAGACAAGTAATACGCCCCTACATGGGTTTACATTTGTAAATGAAGACTTTCAGATAACTACACGCACATTAGAGTCGCAAAACTTGGATAAATATTGTGTGTGCCGGAAAAAGGGGTGAAATAGGACACATGTAAGTAAATGGCCGGCCCGCAGAGGACAAATTCGCGTTTGGGAAATGCGTTTCGAAAAATGCATTTCCCAAACGCGTTTTTGTCGCCGGCTGATCGCCGGCCAACCGGCGATTCTAATAGCATAGCCGCATTTAGGAAATGCGGCTATCGTATGCTATACGAAAGCCGCATTTCTCAAACGCGGTTATGCGTATACGACAACCGCATTTGGGAAATGCGGCTGTCGTATATTATACGACAACCGCATTTCCCAAATGCGGTTGTCAGTTCCGAAGATTTGCAACCCACCCGAGTTTGGGAAATGCGGTTTTGACCCCAACCACGTTTCCCAAACTCGTTTTTCCTATTCCTGTCAAAAAAAAAAAAAAAAGGTTTCCATTATTGTCCACAACCATTTGTCTCTTCCCATTTCAGTCAAAAACCCTCATATCCATGGGGCACCTTTGCCTCAAGTTCCCCACCCCCACTGGAGTGGGTGTCGCGCGAGAAGATCAGAAAATCAGTCGGAGCTGCTACTAGAAAGCATGCCGCCAAACAACAAAGAAGGATCTCCAAGTACACACCGTAACCGAGAAGGCGCTTCGAGATGAGGCGAAGCGGCCCCGAGCCGAACCCGCGGTGGAGACAGAAGAGGTCATTCTGGACCTCAACCGACCCGACCTCGCGTACCCACCCCGACGGAAGAGCATAACGGTCCAAGTCCGGTGACTTGGAGTCAAAGGGCCACCCTAAGGGGGCACGAGGTCCGACCTCGCGTACCAACCCCAACGAAAGAGCTTAACGGCCCAAGTATGGTGGCTTGGGGTCGAAGGGCTACCCTAGGGGGAGCCCGAAGTCCGACCTCATTCGCCACTCGGCAGGGTCTCGGCCAACTTCCCAAGGAGGTCTTGGCGGACTTTTCTGATGAGGTCTCGGTCGACCTCTCGAGGAGGTCTCGACCGACCTCTTGGGGAGGGCCCGGGCGACCTTTTGGGGAGGTCTCCGCCAACCTCTCAAAGAGGTCTTCGAGAACCTCTCGAGGAGGTCCCCGCCGTCCTCTCGACGAGGTCTCGGCCGACCTCTCGAGGAAGTCCCGGCCGAACTCTCGGGGAGGTCTCCGCCGACCTCTAGAGGATGTATCTGCCAACCTCTCGAGGAGGTCTCGGCCAACCTCTCGGGAAGTCCCAGCCGACCTCTCGGGGACGTCTCCGCCGACCTCTCGATGAGGTCCCCGCTGACCCCTCGACGAGGTATCGACCGACCTCTCGGGGTGGTCCCGGCCGACCTCTCGGGGAGGTCTCTGCCGACCTCTCGAGGAGGTATAAGCCGACCTCTCGAGGAAACCTGCACCGACCTCTCGATGAGGTCCCCGCCAACCTCTCGGGATATCCCAGCTGACCTCTTGGGGAGGTCTCCGCCGACCTCTCGAGAAGGTCCCCACCGACCTCTCGACGACGTCTCGACCGACCTCTCGGGGTGGTCCTGGCCGACCTTTCGGGTAGGTCTCCGCCGACCTCTCGAGGAGGTCCCCGCCAACCTCTCGGGAGGTCCCAGCTGATCTCTCCGGGAGGTCTCCGCCGACCTCTCGAGGAGGTCCCCGCCAACCTCTCGATGAGGTCTCGACCGACCTCTCGGGGTGGTCCCGGCCGACCTCTGGGGGAGGTCTCCGCCGACCTCTCGAGGAGGTCTCCGCCGACCTCTCGAGGAGGTCTCGACCGACCTCTTGGAGAGGTCTCCAGCGACCTCTCGAGGATGTCTCCAGCGACCTCACGAGGCTATCTCGACCGACCTCTCGGGGTGGTCCCGGCCGACCTCTTAAGGAGGTCTCCGCTGAACTCTCGAGGAGTTCTGCGCAGAACTCTTGAGGAGGTCCTCGCCAACCTCTCGACGAGGTCTCGACCTACCTCTTGGAGAGGTCTCCGCCGACCTCTCGAGTAAGTCTCCGTCGACCTCTCGAGGAGGTCTCCGCCGACCTCTCGAGGAGGTCCTCGCCGACCTCTCGACGAGGTCTCGGCCGACCTCTTGAAGAGTTCTCGGCTGGCCTCGTGGTGCACCCTAGGGGCGATACGAGGTCCGACCTCGCCTATCGCCATACGGATGAATCGCGTCTCTCCATCACCCGGTCGAAGGAGAGCCTCAACGCCAACGGGGTCAATGTGAATCCGCTCCAAAGGGACATCATCACAGGCACCTTGTGGAAGGTCTGAAATCAAGTCCGGATGGGACGGAAGGTCCGTGGCCGAGCCCCGAGGGGAAGTCAGATGAACATCTCCATTGGCCACCTCCTTCGGGTCGGCTGGTGACTCCAGGTTCCCGAGGTCAGCCGGGAGACCCCACACCACGGGGTCGTGGGTCTCGTCTCTCTTGCAAAGAACGAACTAAACCCTTCGCTGCATCACATACTCTCCCACATTGTACATGTGCAACCCGTGCACAGCCACGACCCCTTTCCCAATTGTGTCGCGTAGAAGGTCCCCAAAGGGCTCCACCGCATGCTCGG